GGCAACACACAACTTCCTTTTATCAGGCGAGACACGGCCCATTTTATACTTGGAAGAAACCTATTCGTAAAATGTAGGTTGGTATACGTGATCCTGGGGCTAGGTAGACCGGAAGTCAGTTGGAAAAGGAAACAACAGTAGGCTATGTGAGATTTCAGGTTCGATTATGGACCCGATAAAACCGGATTCTTTTTAGGAAACAAATTAATTTTTAGATGTAAATGTGGACAGTTAATTCAGATTAGCATTCAGAAAATAACGCTAATTTACGCAAACTGATTTATAAATTACTTATTTAGATTTCGATCTTTATATTTTGTTTTTAACGATAAAGATAGACGTGTAATTTTAATTTATTAATGTAAAACGGCCCACAATTGTATAAAAACGAATTTAACACAAAGGTACAGGTTTAAAATAATTTCCTGCTGCGTTTACGTACATTTCGGTGTCGTTAAGTAAGGTTAAACCTTACGTTAATGTCTGGCACTAATAAGCAGAAAGTCTTGCATTGTATTAGACCTTACGACACCTAATATTTCTTACATCGGAAGAACAAATTCTAGTAGCAGAGAAAAAACCGTCATGTGTAACGGACACAAAATAATTCGCTATATGTTCTCGTAAAGTAAAATTATGGCGAGACAGTTTTTAAAATAATAGGCTACAGTTTGAATTATAAATTGCATTTCATAATCACATATTAAAAATGCGGTAAAACGTAAACGACTTACATTCGTGAATAATTTTATATACACTGTGAATAATAATAATTCAAACTGCAAATATAATAATTCCATTTATAAATTATCGTTACATTAACAAGAAAAGGTTCTAGTGATTAATGTGACAGATTAGTGTTCAAAAGGAACACGTTCGATTCTGAACGTTGCCAATAATCTTAAATTAATAATATAGTTAAAATATGTTATATTTACAACCAATTACCAGAAGGCAGAAGTAGAATGCGAAACCCATAATACAAAAAGCACTTACTGACTGTTAAAGCAGGCGGTAGATATAGTTACCACTGGGCTTTGAATGATTAAAAACAAATACCACACCAACTTCATGAACAAATCACCAAACATTTCCCCAAGCCCGTGTTAACTAACCCATATATTATGTAACGTTCGAAGATTCACCTAGAAGCGCACGCTCACGAAAATTCAAAAAACGATAATCTCATCCTAACGATATATTTAAATACGCACACGTTTCGGAATCGATTAATGCTCCATCAAGCATGTTTCATTACAGGGCTTAGCAAACGGATCTGAATCAAATTTAAAATCGATATCGTCGTAGAATTTCTTTGACGGTGACCCTGAGATTCGTTACCAGGTTAATGATTAGCTGACGTACAAAGGCGATAACAGAAACTAAAATAACCCAATTCTATTTGAAGGCACGATGTTTCATACCACAAGCCTACATAGTTTGTCACAATTACAGAAAAGCCGTCTCTCGAACCAAGAACTGAACGTAATCTCTTCACATAAAGTTTAAAAGACACTGATATAAATTAGTCTTGTGTGTTCACAGGAAAGGACATGTGTTGTTTGTTATGGATACATTACTTACATCGATGTTCACTCATTGTAGACTGAAATATACTGTTATAAGCCTATAAGCATCGCAGATATCACTTGTGCAGATAATTTTTTTTTGTTATTTCGATAAATATTCACCACATCAAAAATGTTTAAATAAGTGAATCAGATATGAATGAAGTATATATTGTCTTAGCAACATATTAATTATGAACAGGTCTGATCAGGTCTGTAATTCGATCTCATCTTCATAAAAAAGGAATTAAAAAAGTAGACCTCAAATAAGTAACATCTTTTAAATTTCTTCAAGGATTTTGGAGACTTTCCTGCAGATACACGCAAGGGCATAATATCTCCTATACGTATTGCGTATTTCTTCATGCGAAGTACGCATAACAAATGTGAATGTTTAAATCTACAATAAAAGTAAGGAGATTGTGGTCAAAATACATACTAACAGAGTGCAATGTACCGTCTAATTTTTATAATCTACAGAGAGTATTTCATATAATGTATAGGATACTCAAAAATACGTAAGCAGACTTTAATACGCATAAAATGACCAGTGATTTTTGTGTTAATTTAATTATCCAACATTTATAACATACGAATGGCTTAACACTTATCTATTCTAAAGTCAGAATTTCTAAATATGCTGACGAATCTAATATGCTATACGTACCTGCAATCACGCCATTTGTTAAGAATGTATGAGGAAACTTCAAAATAACGACACACAGAAACCTACAAGGTTCATACATTCCATTCTTCACGCTCTAGTGTGAGCGAAAAACACCTTATTGGCCTCGACATACCTGTCTGTCTGTCTGTCTGTCTGCAGCATTCTTCGTTGCAATGTAAACTTCGGCAACTTTACAAGAAAACTCTGTTTCGCAACAATAACTTGTGATCACGTTAGTAAAGCAATGATCTGCATGCACTTTTTAAATATTGTATTACGAAATAAGACAACGTCCTTTTTTGTAAATAGACATTCAATCTATGCGCTGCTAAGAAGGTAATTACAATGCCATATACTACGTAAAATTATCTGTGTTAAAATTCAATACTGTTTACAGCAAAAATACATACGATGTTTTCAGTAACTTTACTTTCCGGGCCAAAGTAGAAGGCAAACCCATGATTTTTATGAGCTGGAAATAGTACTCAGTTAAATCGACTATTGTTTATGACGAAATGGACTACAGAAATGGACTGCGTAGTCAAGATAGGTTAAAGCTGTATATTTTCCATTCATGGAGAACATTCTACAATTCCAATGTTTACTAGAACATCAATGTATGTACCAACAGTTGGAAAAATTCTAAAGACATTGCAATAAAAAAATCCGATAAATAATGCAATTTACACATAACCCACATCTAGGATGGTAATATTATTCTATTCTAATGATAACCAACCGAATTTCACCCGCGGCACACGCTTATTTGTCTGACAAATGACGACACACTACAAAATGTCACCTCATGGAAAGAGGGTGAAATATTATAAAACTTTACACGGCCATAAATATCTACCTATATATAAAATCACCCTATAATAATGCAGGCATATAAAAACAAAATATAACGTACGTTGAATAAATCCATCGATAATGCACACGAGTGCGTGTATGTAACGAATTATATTTGCAAAAGATAAGATATTGATTTTCTCTGACTATAACATGCGAATATGTAATTTCATATAAAAATTCGTAACACGCCTGAAATTCATAAACATGTTGCCAGCATTACAAAGTACGAGGTAACACAAAGTTGTATGGAAACAGATGACAAATAATTTGAGGTTTTCACGGCGAAGAGTTAGAAAATTGCCATCTTCTGGGTTGTAGCGCCGTGTAGTCTGATAGAAGTTTACCGACGACGAGTCGAGTCATCATTGTCCTGATGAAGGAAGCAGCAAGCACCTCCAAAACATCGACAAACGTCCACCAGACTACACGGCTTAACAACTCAAAAGACATCTACCTTCACGTTAATTTTCACTTTAAAATATAACCAGAATCCTAAAAATGTGTAACAACGCTATCAATATGTGGTTTCGTGTACGTGATCGGTTACTGAAGAATAATTTATTTGAATTCATGCTACAGAGTTCATTTTTGGCGATTTTCACCTACTGAGACAACGATTATATCAGCAGGTATTAGCAACCATGGAAACATTAATTTCACGAAACTAATGTTCTGTACTTCCCATTCGTTTTAACATTTTTCTCTGATTTTAAATATATTTTGGTAAATAAACGACATAATTATATATACATTAAAACAAGTCACTGTGACACCATGTAGTGCAAGGTGCTGGCTGACGGAAGCTGACGTCATCGAAATTAACTAAAAGTGATGGGTATAGTGTTCCATATCAAATCTAAAACTTCTTGACGATGGTGAAGAGTCAATTGATTAAAAATTTCCTTGGATATTATCCATCGTCTAGTAAATATAAAACGTAAAACGACGTTTCGGAGATGGGACTCTATCTAGTGGGCCCAACTGTGTAGGAACCTGAAGACGGAGATAGAGTACCATCTCCGAAACGTCGTTTTACGTTTTATATTTACTAGACGATGGATAATATCCAAGGAAATTTTTATTCAATAGTGTTCCATGTTTCAGGTGCAAATGCAATGTCTCATTGTCCACTGAGTAATTTTCAGTGGCATTTATCTTGCTTGCCGGGAAAATGTTGCACATAAAAGAAATATTTACGGTCCTACTGGTAGACTTTCAAGGTCAGAAACAGAAAATATTCTGAATACTACCCTAGCCAGATAGAAATAAGTGCGAATTATTAATGGCTTACATCGATAACAGTAAATCGAAGTTGTTAATGACGGGGTTAGAACTTTCATTTTTTTCGGGAATTTTCTGACATTGTTTCTTTTTTTCGGGCATAATATCAACTGTCGTTACAAACACCGACTTATTCACCCAACTTTCGAACACGCATATTTCTTGCTACCATATTTTTTAATCAAATTGTTGGAATGTTACATACTTAACCTTTACCCCAGTTTCTTTGAATTCGAAATACGAAATCTACTTAAACAGAAAGAAACACGTGTCCACTATTCCCTATGATGTGCAACACAAGATTTTTAATTAATATTGAATTTATACCAAATTAAAGTTTGATCCTATTTAATGCCGTCATCATCAACGACAGAATAACACACAATGATGTCAGACACCATCCCAAGTTTGTAATATTCCCTGCCAAATTATAACACCTGTTTGTATGGCGCTGAAACGTTCTGGTACTGACATCTGACGAGTTTATCAGGCATAACTAAACACCTGAAACGCACACTGTACTTACGTTATTATCAACAACTCCAGAAAGCTTGTTATCACTTTAAATGTAATGTTTGAATAATATTAGCTGTGGAATGTGCGTAGTAAGGAGTGAATGGTGGCGGTACCTGGTGGCCGGTGTCAAACTCCTCGTCGTTGGAGAGCGCCAGGTCCGAGGTGCGCTTGTCGAGATGCGAGGAGGTAGAGGGGGAGCCCCCCTGCCAGTCCCCCGTGGGTAAAACTCTGCAAGAATAATTCCACAGGTGTGTTCGTCGGCGCGGGAAGAAGCGAGAAGAAAAGGTATCAAAACACATTTAAAATAAAACGAAGGGTCTGTCTTGATGAATGTCTCACCTGGTCTGGGTACACCCTACAAAGTAGCCAGCTCCTGCCTGACCTACTGACTTAACGCTCACCTCGTAATGAGTTCAGGGGGGCCCATACCCACCCCCGAGTCCTCGCTCGGAGTACGGTATTCTTCCGGTTCGTTAAACTGTTCATAGGTGACACCACCTTCAGGAAACTTGTAGGGACGAGACGTTTGATAGGTCAGCTCTGGCTGAAAAATATACACGCACGGTATTTGTTTGGGCAGGACGTGTGTGCAGTGACCCCGCCGAGTTAGGGAACACAAATTGCTCTGATGCTTTCGCTTTTTTTCCTGCTTGAAATTTTACGAATTCCTAACACAGTTCCCGAAACGTGCAATCAGAATCTACGTGTCTTCGACTTATGAACTGATATTTAAGCTTATAGCTTGAATGCAGTTTCATGAATATAGGCTTTGATTACAAAGCACACAAAACAGACGCCTGATAATATCGTCCTTCTGACAAAAAGACTTAAGTAGGTTTAAAATGTTACTGTACCAAGAAATACGATTATGAAGAGCACCAATGTTATGCTGAACTTTGTACTTTGCCTGAGGTACAATTGATATACAAGTCGTTTCGGGGGGATGTCTACTCTCCTTATCAAGTTATTGGGTGTCACCGTGGGCCTAATGACAGTTATTTTTTATTTGTTGTTATTTTGAGATTATTGACTACGGTTGAGTTAGATGCATTCATCTGAAAATGTCAGTGGTTCCAACTCCCGAAACGTCGTATAAATAAAATATGCCTAAGACAATGTACGACGTACAACAATTTGGTTATATTAAGAAGGGTGTATTTCCCAAGCGACTCCTCGATAAAGCAGTCCATTCTGGAATTGAGTTACATTCAGCGTTCTGTAGGTCATTCTCCAATTGGGTCCTTTACTTCACTCACGGACTAAGTCAAATACGCCATAAGTCAACAGACATACATGGACACGAGCAACGGAAATTATAATCCAGTAACGTTTATAAAAATTAATCCCGAGTTGAAAAGTTTCTTCTGCTGAAACAAAGAATCCTTTTAGAGTAATAAATTATTCACGGGCTACAAGCCATGAAACGTGGCTTAATGAAGAAAACGCCAACGTGAGGACCAAGATGGTTCTCGAAACGTTGGCGTTTTCTTAGCCGGAGAATAATTTATTATACTTAGCCGCCGTGAAAGCTTCAGATCATAAATCCCTTTAGAAATTTGGAAGGATTCGAAAAGGAGTTTCGGCCCAGCACAAATCCCTGAATAAAATTCTCATCCCAATGTTTGAAATATCGATTTTAAATGAAGACAAAATTGGGACAACACACAACGTGCCACAGGTAGGCATATTTCGTGTACAAGCACGTGTTATTAGGGTAACGATGGAAGGTCAGTGTAAGATATTCGCATTTTAAATAATAGAGTTTTCATTTTTCAAAAAGCTTGCTTGCCATTCATTTAGGTTATAACTTATCTAAATGCATACAAAAACTTGTATATAAAGTAGGCTATAAATCAGGATTGCATAATTTTGAAATTAGTTAAATTTTATTGGTATATTTTACTAAGGGCTCTTAACAAATTTAAACAAAATTAGTTTTGAGTGAGCAGCGTTATTACATATGTACGGACAGACACACATATCTACAGTGCCATCTTTACAACATATTCTAACACAGTATACTTTAATTGAATACTCTTATCTTCTTCTTTATATTTCAAGTTGTTTCTTGTCGAAGGATTTCCCAATCAAAATATTGTATGCATTCTTGTCTCTCCATGTGACCATTAGGATTTGTATTTCTATTTACAGCAGAAGTATTAACTAGAGCAGTTCTAAAAAATACTCACTCCCCTAACAATATGAGGTGACCAATAAAAATTAAGTTTCCCGTTTTACAACGCTCTAATTCGTACTCTTAGCCTATTTCTCCCCACTTAGACCCAAAAATTCTCTTAATAACTTTCCTTTCACATACCATACTGTCTGAGCGGAGAACTGACTTCACCTTCAAACAGAAGTACCCTTCTGCGCAGGCATACAGACACTCTAATACAGTGGTATTCAACCTGGGGTACGCGTACTCCCGGGGGTACGCAAAGACATCTTAAGGGGTACGTGAAATTTAAAAAAAAAAAAAAATTTATGTTAAACACTGAATAATCAGTAATGTAATTTATTTAATTTATTTTAGATGTAGATTATATATTATGTATAACTTGAATTATACACCAACAACTTTGGGGGTACAAATTTGAAGAGAAATTATATCTGGGGTTATGATCTTTTATAAAATTAGAAATCAAGTTTCACAGCCATAGAAGACAAATGTTAGCATTATATACAGATCTATCTTAGGCCGACACATTTCTTTCACACTGACTACAGACTAGAAGACCGGAGACGGATTTTGAGCAGACAAAAGGGATTTCTACGTTGGTTACTACGTCCAGACCGGTTGTGCAATCCACCCATATCCTAGTCGGTCTCATTTTCTGGGGTTAGAGAGGTCGAAGCGTCAAGTTGATCACTCACCTCTTACCTACTGCTGACTTTAACAATATTTTAATTTATCCATACCTATTTGTGTGTGGTAATTAAGGGCAGAAGCCTTTTTATCATTTAATTGTACATATCTTAATCGTGAATGTTTATTAAAGTTGAATAAAAATAACATACAAACAAGTTAGGAAATGTAAGTCTAGCACAATTCTGGTGCGTTCTCTGTTCTTACCCTAGATTTCGTGGATTTTTAGTATAACAGACGATGATTTCATATTAACATGCCAATCACAAAATTCTGTTTCTGCCCCAAAAAATTCAAAGCGTCATTAATACAAGATCAACTTATAAATAACGTTACATCAATTCTCGCATGAAAATTTGTCGTTAATATTGTCCGATTGAAATAAAAAATTTAATTATTCGACAATTTTTATTTAAGTTCTAAATATCAAGTTTTATTTAAAATCCGTTCATTCGTTATCCAGTTATTATATTCGGACGGATTTTAATAGTATTTCGAAGTTTATAATCAGCCTGAAAAGACAGATCAGTCTGCTATAACAACTAGACTGTACATATAAGCGGCACTACCGGATGTTCAATGTCATAACCAATAGGTTGATATATATTTGCATTAATTAATTTTTTGTCATAACTTAGTCATAGACACAGTGAAGTAGGACATGCAGATCAGATCATAAATCCATCTTTGTGGGGAAAATCTACTCCAGATACATAAAAGTACAATAACGTACAAACATCGTATCATGTTAACATAATTTCGAAAATAAATTAATAAGTAAAATTAGTCAAAGGCGAAGGGTGAGTCACGAATTTTCAAACTCTCAAACGTTTATCCGATTTTTATAATTTGTTATAATAAACACCTAAATTATTACTATGGACTATGTTTAGTGCTCAATAATAAGGTCTTAAGTCAATAATAGAGATATAATATAAAATGAAGTTTGAACAAAAATTTTGACACTGAACTTTGTGATAAATTAGAACTGGTAATTTATTTGCAGACAAATTTCAATTGAAATTTGTTATATATAAACAATATGTAATGAAAATATTGCAAAAAGTAATTCATAGAAAAGACATACAAAGAGAAATGTTTATTGTCTCGTAGGATACACTAACCTATTATCCATAAGCTATGCACTTTCAAGAGTTTTGAAACTGCACAGTTCAGTTCCTTATTCGGTACCCTACTAACAAGTGCTGCTTGTTTGATTAAACTAGGTGCATAAGTATTAGACATCAACTGACCGGTTTTCGTGAGTCAGTAATTAAGCTCAACAACTGTGCGGTACATCTAAAAGTTTAGTTGTAATCCTGAACTTTTTGATGATGAAACATATTTAAAAACCTGCTCTCACTTCTAATATTATTTCTAGTGAAATAAAATACAGCAAATTGCAAACGTACGAAATATTCTGTCATAATTAATTGTCTTTATTTCAATATAATCAAGCCGGTGAGCTTCATGTTAACTCAAGTCATATCAAATACTTGCAACGAACAGAAGTTATTTAACATTGAACGTGGAGGTTATAGCCTATAATCTGCAGTTGGGAGGTTCTGTTTTCAAACCCCATCATGGACACAGCTTCTTCGTGCTTTTCCGAAGTCCTTTTAGGCAAATTCCAGAATATTCACTTAAATCAGGCTGCGATAGCTTCCTTTCACATAATTTTCCATTAATCATTATACCAATGGATGTATATAGTCTGAGCTGCTGTTAGCATCGATAAATGAACCATAATTATATTTAGTTACGCTTAAAACTATTCACTGTCTGGACTGTTTCCGTCGTCCTTGTTTAAAAAAGAATAAAATGTACAAACAATGAATAATTTTAAGTGTAATCCACCGTCGTTAAAACCCTTTAGAGTAGAATTATATTTAGGTACTTATGACGCAGTTCCATCAGCACAAGTTTTGTAACATCGAATGCCATTTAGGAATTGGGCTTATTTGGGAATAAACCGCATGTTTTTCCATTAATTTCAATTCTCCATACCTAAAAATCATCTCCATTTATTTAAAGATAATATTTTTAACTGACTAAACGTAAAAAACGTCGTTAGACCTTTGAATCCAAAGTTCTTCTAAATACGTTTGTACCGCAAAGAAAACACCACAATAATGAACAGCTTAACGCTGTTTAAGAAAAGAATACTTGTTTACTGGGAGAATCGTATGAAATCCATAAATAAAAATGCACAATTACTAACTGTTAAATCTGGTCACATACACAATGATTACTGAACTTTAAAGGGTCAAAGTTTACATCCTCACCTCCCTCATGCTTTCTTAATCTTATAATTTATTCAAATCCGCGTTTTTCACGTGTTCACCACCTGATTTTTGCATATTAGACGTCCTGGTGTTTTGAAGAACCCTAACGTCACAAATTATGATTATAGAAACATTTCCAGGTTTCATTCATGTAATAAAATTATCTGTAATAATAATTGTCAAAAATAAATTTTCAGCAGACCTAAGTCCATGCCCCACAGAATATTAATCGCCAGTATTTGAACTGAAAGGCACACGATCCGTTTAATGTCGGAGTTATTCTAACTCGTAAGAGCCTAAAAGTACAAAATGGATAATTGCATATAATCTAAAATGGAGACTATATAAAGCACAAGGCATCGAAAAATTATAATAATACTGTACGCATCTAGA